CCCATAGAAGAACAATATCCGGAAAGCTTAAAACTCAGTTTTTTTGGCCCTAAGGTGCCCTTATTTTCTCTATAATGTGTTCCATGGACCGGGAACAAGTTAGAGGATGATAACGTAGAAAACTGTGAAAACTCTTATTTGACACAAATCTTTCGACATCGAAGAGTAAAATCTCTTCAATGTCAACAATCGAAACGCGTCCACTTTGGCCATACGGCTACATCCTTTAGAAAGAAGTGTATAGGAATACCCGGTGTATATGTCCTATTCGAAAAGCTAACACCATTTGGCGATCCGTGCAATACGTTCGTCCTTTCTTCTGCATTTCTCCTTTCTCCACCATAGTTGCCGATACGTATTCACAGTTTTTATGTCACAGCTATGTAACATGATCATTTTGGCCGCGCGCTCGATGGGAACACTTTTTGGCCGCTCAATCGTACTTTCAATGCTTAAAAAATGGTCAAGGAGAACTCGATAGGCGCTAAGGCCGATTATTTCCAATTTTATATACAGCTTTTAACCAGAAAATGCCAAAAAAAAACATCCGTTTCATAGGCACTTAAAGCCCATACATACTCAATGTCGTTAAGCCCATACAATATAGAGTGCGATGATTCTGTCAGTTTTGTGTCATCCCCTTCCTTTTGCAATCATCTGTGATGAGCTAGAAAAAGAGCTCCTCTACACTTATGGCCTAGAAATTTGTCAAGGATTTCCCGCTAAAGTGATTCCTTTGATACACATCAGGCATTCCCAACAATCCTCATTTTCGGAATTCCATCGAGACACAAATGATAATGTTAGCTATACGGAGTGTAAAGTTCTAGTCGGAAAAACGATAGAATCACCGACTGTTTCGAGTTAAGAGTGACCATTACTCAGCAATTTTGGTTTGCAAAATATGCCAGTATAGAAACGGCGACCAGTTCTCTTTCGACAAAGCGTACAGCCGATGTCCCTGGTATTGACGTCAAACTGTAGGCACGAATTAGGAGCTACAAACACCTTTAACGTTTCATGAAGTACGCACTGAACAATTTAATTGTTGTATTCTTAGAGTGTTGAGTATGATTAAAACTTGGCATTTGTTGCGATCGAGTAAATAAGTAAGTTGTTTCTTTCCCAGTATCATCATTGTTTTGTTCTACGTTCGGTTTAATTAAATTGTTTTCGGTATAATTGAACACATACATATTTAGCTACTCTGGATTTGGTGGAGCATTCTGTCAGTGGTACTCCGAAGGGAACGCGTGTTTTTTTCTTTCTTTTTAAGCCATGGTTAACGAATGTTTACAAGGAAAATGAAGAAAGAGGTCAAACATATTTTGGTACGTCGATCTTTTGATCGTGTTTCTTCCTTCACATTAAACATTTTATTTACAGACTATTACTATAGAAAAGTAATTTCTTTCTTTCAGTAATAACAGAAGTATTCAGCAATCAAGGTGATGAAGCATTAACATTAATCAAAGGAAAATATCGAAATACTATCCAGCAATACACAGAAGGGATAAATATTAACTTAAACAGAGAAACAGTAAATTATCATTTGGGTAAGTAATAGTTTAAGATTGTTTTATTTTTTTATTTTTTTTTTTTTCAATTTCTTTCAAGACATGTCAGATTGTTATTGTTGCTTTCCCCTTCTTTTTCCACTTACCACGTGCAATGGACGCTCCCTAGGTCCATTCACTTATGTGCTAGACGCAGTACTCAAGGGAAGAGCATGGCGGATTGTCCATCATCTGTCAATCACACATATGATTCTTGTTAGCTGTTAACTTGATCCAGTTTTTTAACATATCATCGACTCACTGAATTTGGAGAAAGAGCTGTATGCTGTCCGCGGATTAAAAAAGATCTCCCTATTCTGGCTTTAATTTATCACTACGAATGTCTATATCCTCAATATCAGAAGCCTGCATGACGCGTAATCTTGACAGAAAAGCAATCGCCACCTGGTGCACCGAGGGACAAGAAGTATCCTTAATATGCTCATACATTTTAAGTGAAAGTTTTAAAAGGAAAATTTTGTAATGATCTCTCAATTACTCAGTTTTGCTAAAATATGCGAAGTAAACATTGCAAGTATCTGTCTCTAGCTCTCTAAGGGATTAAAATATCTTTGAGACTCTTGACCTTCTTACTTTTTTTTAAAAGACAAAATCATCTTCGTATGAAAATCAAATGGTAAAAACAAAATCAAATTGTATAAACTTCAAGTTTTCATTTTTATAAACTTCAAGTTTTCATTTTTTATAAATTAAACAAGATATACACACTGATAAACCAAGACGAAAACCATTTTATTGATTGTGTTTGTTTGCTTGATTTTTTAAAAATTATTTTCGTATTTGTTCTAGTCGTTTTTTCTTTTTCTTTTAATTCGTCACGAGAGGTCAAACGGCTGTGCTCTACTTCATTTGAATTGCTCTTCATGGATTATCGTCAGATTTATGTCTTGTCACGTTATACATCTTGACTTTAAAAAGATTCACCCAGAAAACCAGAGGCTCTTAGAACTGAAAACTGAGATCGAGGCAAAGAAAACTCAACAGCCGTCTGTTAAAAAGGCAGATATTGAGACCAACGTGGTAAGTAAGGTGATTGAAAAGACACAGAACGTACATGTGCAGCACATTAAGGGAGTGAAGACTTATTTTTCGGTTTAACACCAAGAGAAAAGTTTTCTATCATTTTCTCTCGTTCATGTTCAGTTTGATCAGTTGTTTTCGTTTTGTTTTGTTTGTTTGTTTGTTTGTTTTATAAGAGATTTACATCGAAAATGAACATCACGTGTGTGCTAAGGTTGGAGTTACATACTCTTCACAAAGTTAAACTCAGTTGACATTTTATTATTTCTACATGATGATTTAACTGAATTTTCTAAACCCAGATGAACCTTTTTTTTTTTTAATGTTGGATAATCATCGTAAAGAGTTGTTCACATTTATTCGGCGTCTTTGAGAAAAACAGGCCAAGAAAGAAAAAACTATGAATCGTTTTCAAGGAAACATGTACTAATCATAATCAGAAGATTCGCTCACACTTGACTCGAAAAAGGGCATGTCAGCCGTTTTAATATATCTTTTTTTTCGTTAGGCCCCATTGAATATAAATGTGATATCAGAAGGTTAGTAGGATCGAAGGGTTCAAGTCTTAAAGGGCACCGTGTTAAGCAGTCGCCATGTACTAAACGGTCGGTTATCAAAGTTCCGATATTTTTTTTCCTTAAATTATTTCATTATATAAATCGGTTAGTACGTGCGCTTTGATTAGTCTATTCAGTGGGCCGTATTTCACAGCCCGCTAAATTCAAAAGTTTGTTTTGGAACAGTGGATATTCAACGAATATTTTGATCTTTTGACGACTCGAAGTCCGGTTTATATTGGAAGCCAATAAAATGCTCTTGTACTTAGGATTTGATAACAGATAAAACAAGAGATAAAATGAAAATCTTACTGACTTCGTTTTTCTCGGTCCGTACCGTAAGTTACTCTCGATTTACGGCCTGCACGCTTCGCGCTTGGGCTATAAATCCGAGCGGGAAAAGCTCGGACCGTAACTTACTGTATGGCCCTCGAACTCTGTCAGTAGGAGGTATGTAATTTTCACCTGAAAAGAGCGGTCACCTCTATTAAACAGTAGTGGTCACCTCTTTACTGAGTCACAAAAGCGTGATAGTATTATCCTCCACTTGTATTCAACGATCACTTTAAGGAAACCACCCAAATAAAACTAAGAATAACCTTTAAAGAAAAATTTAATTCATGTTTATTTTCCGAAATCAATATTAATGGTATTTTTGCGCCTTTTTTTGCACATTAAGAGCTTATTTCTGAGAGGGTTGAGAATCGACAGACAGTCCCACATAATCGAATTTTTTATTTTTCGTTTTTGCATAACACTCCCTCGAATGAATGTATTTCAGGAAAAGCAGTTAAAAGCTTCATGGACGAATTTAATAGAAGACATTTTCAAAACTTTGAAAATTTGACAACGTGCGGTATTACCTAAAAAAATATACTAGTAAATATTTTTTTTCGCAACCACTGTAAAGTTAAGAACTATCCTAAAAAAAAAAAAAAGACGTCACCCAAGTAATATGCTATCCTTCTACTTTAAAAAGGATAGCATATTACTCGGGAAAGTCTTGTTTTTATAAAATAGTTTCGTTACCGATGATCGCTGAAATAAAAAGTTGATCTGAAAAGCTGAAAGTCTCGAAACTTATAACCTCTAACCACAAACCCCTGACCGCGGTTTTCCCTCTTTTTTAGGTGAACACGGATCTAAAACTCTCTATTATACCTCGTGGAACTGCATCAGGTGGTCAATCGGTATTTAGCGATCACCCTGCCATTTTCCGTGGGCTACCACTTCATACAGACTCGACTGTATCTTCAATATTCTGAAATGAGTTTCCCGTATGAATTTTGCTTTGCTACAATGAAATATTTAATTAAGGCCGCAATCGGCTTCACCAGCCCCGGTTGTTTCAGTTGAAGGGTCTAGAATAAAGCAATCCACGGGATAAATCTCTTTCCGATGGATTGCGACTGAGGAACGTTTTGTTAACATTCATTCTATGGACAACGATTTATCTGCTGGATAACGTTATCCTCCCTTTGGACAACTGGACCTAGATCAATACACGCGAAATGATTCAGTTTTATCTATTTTACAGGAAAACAAGTACCACTGTCAGAAAGACTTCAATCGGCTAAACCTCGATATTGCCAAAAAAGTAGGGAACAAAAAGAACGTAGGCGCTCAGTATCTCATCCTTGGTGATACGTATTCGGAGCTCAGCGACTTTGAAAAGGCAATAGACTATTACAAACAATTTTTGGGTTGTTGCAAAGAATTGGAAGACCGCATTGGCGAGGGGGATGCGTATTGCAAACTTGGGGACGCTTACAGCAGCGTTGGCCAGGTTGACCAATCTAAGGAGTCCTACGAGCTTTATTTAAGAATTTCTAGAGAACTGGGTAACATGGAAGGGGAATGTCAAGCCTATAGAAGACTCAGTAGCGTTTTTCAGTATCTCAGTGGTTATGAACAAGCTGTAGAATACCAAGAGCAACACTTGATTATAGCCAAGAGGTTGGGAGATAGATCAGAAGAGGGCTTTGCGTATGGACAACTTGGCAGTATTTTCCATAGCCTTGGTGAAGTAGAAAAAGCCAAAGAATATTACTACAAACAACTTTCGATTATCTGTGAAATTGGCGATAGGAATGAATTGATAAAGGCGTATGGAAACTTAGGGAGAGTCCATCACAGTCTGCACGAGTTCAAAAAAGCCATAGAATATCATGAAAGACAACTGAGTATTGCTAAAACGGAGAGAAGGAGAACCGATGAAGCTCGTGCGAAATATGAACTAGGTCGTAATTTCGAATCACTAGAGTCCTTAACAGAGGCTGCGCAATATTACAGGTCAAGCGCGGAGCTTTTTGAAGAGATACGAGCTCATCTTCCTCGAAAAAAGAACAGTTTCTTCCAAGATGAATGGAAGATCAACTTTTTCGATGTGCAACAATGTGTGAACACTGCCCTATGTAGAACACTACTTAAACTAAATAAGGTTTCAGAGGCTCTTGTCGCGGCGGAAAATGGACGTGCCCAATCTCTGGTAGACATTTTGAGATCACGTTATGGAATCGACTCCTTTCACTCGCTATCAACAACACAGGCATTGATGAATGATACATTTAATTGGATTTCCACAAACACAGTTGTATTACGACTTGATGGCGACAAAATATACATCTGGCTGCTTCTTCCCGCGAAAGCAGGACAAAAGGTTCAGTTTGTCAAGAGGACAATAGATAGTGCTCAAGATGTTGAAGCCTTTTGGAAAGCAATGGGTGGGACAAGATCGCTTGCTATGTTATCAAGTAATGATGATAAGGAAATCTCGGATCTTTCATCGTCCTTATGTTTAATTCACCGCTTGGTTTTTGGTGAAATATCAGACTTCTTGCAGGGAGAAGAACTTGTCATTGTCCCTGATGGTCCTTTGTACTTTGTTCCCTTTGCCGCACTCAGGGAATCTATTCAGTCGAAGTACTTTTTCGAACTGTTTAGAATTCGACTCTTTCCGTCGCTGACGAGTATGAAAATAATTGCTGATTCTCCTCAGGACTATCACCGTAATAGTGATGGTCTACTTGTGGGAGATACTTTCAACGATGCGGTAAATAAGATAGGATCACTTCCCGCTGCAAGACAGGAAGTGATATTGATCGGAAGATGGACCGGTATTAAACCCCTTATCGGTGAAGAAGCGACAAAAGCGGCAGTGCTTCAACATCTAAACTCTGTCGCCTTAATACACATTGCAGCTCACGGAGATATGCAAACGGGTGAGGTTTTGTTGGCACCCAACCCTAAGAGGACTTCAGACATTGCAAAAGGGGAAGACTGCATTTTAACGATGGCTGAGGTACTAACTGTTGGAGTGAGAGCAAGACTGGTTGTTCTGAGCTGTTGTCATAGTGGGCACGGAAAGCTTATGTCTGAAGGTAACATTGGCATTGCACGGGCTTTTATCGCCGCTGGAGCTCGTTCTGTTTTGGTGTCATTGAGTGCGATCGATGATGAAGCCACACTTATGTTTATGAAAGAATTCTACAAAGAGTTGGTGAAAGGAAGCACCGCTAGTAAGGCCTTAAACAAGGCCATGGAATGTCTCAGAAACTCAACTGAGTTTTGGGAACTTAAATACTGGGCTCCATTTGTACTCATTGGGGACTATGTTACCTTAGACATGTTTCTGAAACCAGAACAGACAGTGATGCCTGACGCTGGTGCTTTGCAGTGTAAGTAAACACCTTTTTACCACATCATTGAGCACAAGCAGATATGACTCATTTTCCAAGAAATTTTAGAAGAAAAAACAGCATGAAATCTATCATAGAGAGTTATACAGTCAAACCTGTATTAAGCAGTCAATTAAGTCATTGCCCAGCTCGATCTTATCAGTCATGGCGGCTTTAAAATGGTCTTGATAAGAGAAGATCGGTCCTGGATCTAAAGACAGCCTTTGACAAGGTAGATTGACAACTTTCAATGACAGGATATTGGGTTTAGAGGCTAAGTTGTAGATGTAAATGGACCAACCGACTGACAATCGTACGAAAGCGGAGGAGGACTTTAGACTTCAGACTTCAGACTTCATTCTTCAGACCTCGGACTTCAGACTCCAGATTTTTTTTTTTAAAGTTGTCGGAAGTAGGAAGTCTGAAGTCTGTTGTTTGAAGTCCCTCCTCGGCTTTCGCACAATCAATACTTGGGTTTTTTTTTCAATAAACATATACGACCTTGCCGATAAGACTCGCCATTCTTCTATACGAATATAAGCGGATGATACCAGTATAACGTTCATTGACCGCTGCATCCCTGAACTGCAACACTATATAAATATTCCGATTTGTAACAACGCCTTCTGGACTGGCTGAAAACAATTTGATTCTCTTCCAAGGATTTTGGAATTGGAGTCTAACAATATAGATACATCACAATTAAATAGTTTAGGAACGATTCCTAAAAATTAGAGCTCATTTACTGCGATCTTTATCGTCTGCCACCACTAACGTACACTCTGAATATTTTCTAGACAGCCTGATTTCAAGAAACAGAGTAGACCACGACAGCTTTCAACAGCTATGCCATCCACAAACAATAGTGTCTGACGTTAGAAAATAATCACCGCTAGATGATAAAGTTCTTACATACCCTAAAAATTTTACATAACATTCTTAAGGAGTAAAACAGAGCCTTCCCATGGCTACAGTCCTTCTCCCATATTTCTCTACAGCTTCTTTTTGTTTTCCTTTCAGACCATGCAGAAGGGGACGCGGAGGACAGTTCAGCTTCGCACCCTGATTAACGAGACCTGATTAAGGTGTAAATGGCGCGAGACTAGGTTGTACAAACTGGGCTTTTGGAATTATATTCGTCTTACGGGTTCACATTAACTGAACAATTAAGATGTGTGTGATGACTCTGCCTATCAGATTTTACTTGCATAAATCACCAGGCCCAAAATGACAGTGGTATAATGTGCTGCGGCCAGTAGTCAGCAATTTAAGAAGCGGTTAAGAAATAGATATTTTTAATAATTAGTACCAGTATTGTAAATATTTTTATTACTTCTTAATGTTGTGAAAGACCTGTGACAATCGACTTGAGAAAGTTATCTATGTACATGTATCTATCTATCAATCAATCAATCCATCTATCTATCTTTTGACCTATCTATCCATCTATCCATACAGCTATCCAACTATTGATCTGTCTATCTATCTATCTATCTATTTATATCCAACCGAATAAAATTCATTTTACTTCGTTCTTAGTGCTAAAAGGTGTCTGATTTCGCGTGTTTATGTGGATGTAGCATATAGACTATCACTTTTCTATTAATAATCACCCAATGGTTTTGTTTCTAACCGATACAGAAAATCTGTGGGGTTTTCCGTTCTTGAAGACGACAGACGACTTTCGGCTTCTTTTGACCTGAACTTATCCAGGTTACTCCAAGCCTCTCGAGTGCCTCCACCAGGAAAACTCATGCGCGCTATTTTTCTTTTTTTAGAAATCATCACAAATTACAAGTTTTGCGCTTTTTCAGTCTTTTGGTTTTTATCAAGGACCTTTTTATCCTTTTTTTAAGTTTAATGATGAGAAATTGACTTATCTTTCGAAAAATATGGAACTCAAAAATATGGTTCTTCCTGTCCTCAAATAAATATGTAATTATACACAACTTATCTATTCACTTATTCTTCTATCAGCTTTCTTTCGAGGTCCTTAAATAACTTCTAGTATTCAGTCTCTTCTTCAGTCGCTTCTTTATCAAAGGCAATGGAATAATTAAGTAAATCCTTTGCAGGTGATTGACCCGCTTTAACCAGTAATCTGCTAATGGCAGGTCAATTTACTCTTAAATTTTGTGATGAAATAAGTGAAGTGTGTGTAAATGTTGTTTTCGTGAAACGAAAGCAAAGAAACGAGAATTAAGGGAAACATATCTGTATTATATCGCCAGGAAAAGTGAGTAAACGATCTAACTTCTGAAAAATTGTTTGTAAATGAGCATGAACCTCTTGAAGCAGAGACTGTAATAACCATTTTTAATGCATAGCTTAAGAGTTTAAGAAGCAGTCATCAGTTAAAAGTTTTATCTTTGGTTCCAACTGGGAGAAAAGAGCAACAAACGTCAGAAAACAATTTTGCTTAGGAATGTGGCTGACTAACGGAAAGTTCCCAACGGTTTTTCGTAAAAAAACTGGGCCGAATCCCAGCTATAATTCTAAATGGTGTTAGTTGCCAACAAAAGACCAAAATCGGCATCGAAGGCCCTTGCATTTGGTGCTGCAATAGCCTCACGTTTCCTCGCCGCTCATGGCATGGTATAAGCCTTTTCATTTTATACATACTGAGATTTACATGGTGAATTACTATCGTTCGTGTAACTGATTGGACAAACGATGTATTTTCAAAATCGTTCGCCGCCAATCTTTGAAAAGTGTTAATTGTTTAGTACAAATTTCAGTAGGTATGAAATAAAAACATCATAGCATGGAAATTTCTGGGACGATTTTTATTCACTCGCTGCGATGCATCAAAAAACTCACTCGTTTGCTACGATCACCCGCTCGTTTTTCGATGCATCGCAACTCGTAAATAAAAATATTTCGTGCGCCTTTCCCATGAAATAATACTTACTTGCCGAATGGGCCTAAGACTTAATTGTGAGTATGACTTTGAAGATTTTCTTGAAAAATCAGCTCGATATGTTTGTGCATGCAACCGTTCCTAACACCAACTAGCCACTCGTCTGCTAAGCACAGCTTGAAATATAGCTCATCCAGGAATATGCATCCTTAACACCTAAGAACGTAAGAATTCATCCTGCTTGACAAAGCACGACAAAAAAGTATTAAAGAATATTATAGAGCTTTGCACCACGTCGTCTCCCTCATTCCCTTTATTACTTCTATTGCGTTGTTTTTTCATTTATTGGTTGCTATTTAATTGCAGATTAATAAAGTGGAAAAGAAGTCTGAATGTCAGTTACTCGAGAATTGTCTTCTGTGGGTGTCAGTCTAGCTCACCCAACCAAGGTAATAAAGACAACTGCGAGTGACTTATGCCATGTCGAAGGCTATACAATGACGAGAAAAAATGTGTAGTACACAAATTAAACATATTTCTTACATACCTAGACTTTCACTCAACAAAAGGGCACTGTAATCGGTTGATTCTTGGTCAATAGATTATTATAGGTCAACGGATACGCGTGCGCATGCGCACACGCAACACAATCACTGAAAATCACAGCCTGGGGATAATATGCAAAAGATTCGCTACACTTAGAACTGGACATAAATTATGACATAACCGCATAAATTTAATCCTGAATGCCACAGAGTCCATTGAAATATTTTTCGTCCACATTTCTCATTAATTTTTCTTCCTCTCCTCTTATCAATCAAACAGAGTGATAACCTGCACAACTCTGCAATTCTTGAAGGAGTCCAAAACGTTGGAGACAAGTTAAAACAAGGGCCAGCGTTCCTCGTTATTGGCGATGCTTATTACAATCTTGGTGATTTCAGACAGGCTTTGCACAACCACAAACTTTATCTTTCATACATCGAAGAAGAAGACAGGGCTGCTATAGGTCGTGCGCACGGTATTCTTGGCAAGGACCATATCGGGCTTGGAAACCATAAACATGCCCTGATCTTCTATGAACAACAGCTCGAAATAGCTAAAGAAACTGGAGAGAGAGTCGAGGAACGGCAAGCTTGCGAAAATCTCGGTCATCTTTATTTCAAGATCGCAAATTTTAAGTTGGCCGCGATGTGGTATAAATGTGCTGTGTACATCGCTGAAGAGATAGGTGACAAGACACAAATCGCAAAAGCGAAACGTTATCTTGGCAACTGCCATTACCGTAACGGTAGGTTTAAAAATACCATGAAAATATCATAGAATAGACTTGAAGTTGGCCAAAGAGTTAGGAGACAAAGAGGGTGAAGGTATTGCATATGGCAACCTTGGAGATGTCTCTTTAAGCTTGGGGGAATTCCAGTAGGCCATAACATACAACGAGAAGAGTCTAGACATTGCAAGAGAAGCTAAGAACTGCGCTGAAGAAGGAAAGGCGTGTTACGCGATAGGCTGCTGCTTCGAATCCCTGGGAAGCCTAGATGAAGCTGAGAGATGGCTTCGACTTAGCAAAGAAACATTTGATAACCTACGAAAGCCAAGTCATTCGAACGATGAGTGGGTAATAAATATTCAAGATGAATACAAACTTGTAATTGTTGCTTTATGGAGAACTCTTTTAAAACAAAAGAAAACTAAGGATGCTCTCCTAGTTGCTGAGGAAGGACGCGCCCAAGCCTTGGTAGATCTTCTGAAGTTAACATCTGAGAGCGATTGTTCTGAAATCGATCGTTTGGACCGTTTGCCCAGCCTGCTTTCCAGTCTTTCTTGTGTCACACTATTCTTTGCAATTGAGAAGAAAAACATTACTATCTGGGTCCTCAATGGAAATGATGTTCAGGTAAGAGAAAGTGGAATTGATGAGCGCTCTCGAGCTCTGGGACAGGAACTCAACTTGACATTTGATTCTTTGATACAAGCGGCTTATCCTCTCCTTGAAAATGAAGTTCATTCGTTGTCGGAGGGTTGTGCTCTAAAGGCGGAAGTAATCAGACGAGAACGAGACGAATCGATGAAAGAAGCACTGAAAATGTTATACGATGTCGTGATAAGACCTGTAGAAGACCTGCTCTCCGGAGATGAAATAATAATTGTCCCGGATGGCCCGCTTTGTAAAGCGCCTTTTACAGCATTCATCGACTCACATGATAGATACCTTTGTGAATCTTACAGAATACGATTAGTTCCTTCACTAAAGAGTTTTAAATTGATTGCGGGTTCTCCAAAGTTCCATAGCAAAGGAAGCGTACTTCTCGTTGGTAATCCGAACCTTGCGGAGATTGTTACCGAACAGCCTTGTCACTGGGATCTCCCAGGAGCTGAGAATGAAGTCAAGAATATAGGCAGAATTCTTAAAAGTAAGCCCCTTATTGGAAAAGATGCGACGAAAGAGGAAGTGTTGCAGCGCCTTAAGGGTGCCTCTTTAGTACACATTGCTGCGCAGGGTGGTGACGAAAATGGGGAAATTTTGTTGACGCCAAATCCAATAAGAGAATCGGAAGAACCAAGAGTGGAGGACTACATGTTAACAATGGCTGATTTGACTGCTCTTCAGTTACAAGCAAGAATGGTAGTGTTAAGTTGCTGCCATAGTGCACAAGGAAAGATAAAGGCAGAAGGTGCCGTTGGCATCGCACGGGGCTTTTTGGCAGCAGGCGCACGTTGTGTTTTAGTAGCATTATGGGAGATTGATGACCAGGTCACTCTGGAGTTGATGAAATATTTTTATGAACGATTAGTTGCTGGAAATAAAGCGAGCAAAGCACTCAATCATGCCGTAAAACATGTAAGGGAGCATCAAGATTATGTGAAGGATTGGGCTGCCTTTCATCTGATAGGAGAAGACGTCAAGTTGGATTTCTTGGCAGAAGAATCAAGATTATCGATTCAAAACGTAAGCTATGAGTTGAATTGTTGAAACACTTATTTGCGAATATACCTAAGAAACGGCGGCGTAACAATTCATCAAAGTCTGCAAAATATACACTCCGTCTTGGGTGCAAGAATACTCTTGCAAATCGTAAGTTTCCTGAAAGTACATGAATGCTTTGAACATTGCTACTTCGAAATTAACTTTCAACCACGTTTAGCAAAGGAACCTAGGTAACTTTCACTTATAAATAAGAAACAAATTGCATGAAAATTGCTTCACGTAAATCGTGGTGGCAAACCACCAATTGCCTTGACCAATAAAGAGCTAGTCGAGCATGCAATTACTTTCTTATCCAATGGTGACACAGGTAGCATTGATGAATGATACATTTAATTGGATTTCCACAAACACAGTTGTATTACGACTTGATGGCGACAAAATATACATCTGGCTGCTTCTTCCCGCGAAATTAGGACGAAAGGTTCAGTTTGTCAAGAGGACAATAGATAGTGCTCAAGATGTTGAAGCCTTTTGGAAAGCAATTAGTGGAACAAGATCGCTTGCTATATCATCAAGTAATGATGAAAAGGAAATCTTGGATGTTTCATAATCCTCATGTTTAATTCACCGCTTAGTTTTAGTGAAATATCAGACTTCTTGCAGGGAGAAGAACTTGTCATTGTCCCTGATGGTCCTTTGTACTTTGTTCCCTTTGCCGCACTCAGGGAATCTATTCAGTCGAAGTACTTTTTCGAACTGTTTAGATTTCGACTCTTTCCGTCGCTGACGAGTATGAAAATAATTGCTGATTCTCCTCAGGACTATCACTGTAATAGTGATGGTCTACTTGTGGGAGATACTTTCAACGTGGAAATTCTACTCCGCGGTAAACCCCATGAGATAGAATCACTTCCCACTGCAAGACAGGAAGTGATATTGATCGGAAGATGGACCGGAATTAAACCCCTTATCGGTGAAGAAGCGACAAAAGCGGTAGTGCTTCAACATCTAAACCCTGTCGCCTTAATACACATTGCAGCTCACGGAGATGCACAAACGGGTGAGGTTTTGTTGGCACCCAACCCTAAGAGGACTTCAGACATTGCAAAAGAGGAAGACTGCATTTTAACGATGGCTGAGGTACTAACTGCCGGAGTGAGAGCAAGACTGGTTGTTCTGAGCTGTTGTTATAGTGGGCATGGAAAGCTTATGTCTGAAGGTAACATTGGCTTTTATCGCCGCTGGAGCTCGTTCTGTTTTGGTGTCATTGAGTGCGATCGATGATGAAGCCACACTCATGTTTATGAAAGAATTCTACAAAGAGTTGGTGAAAGGAAGCACCGCTAATAAGGCCTTAACTAAGGCCATGGAATGTCTCAGAAACTCAACTGAGTTTTGTGAACTTAAATACTGGGCTCCATTTGTACTCATTGGGGACGATGTTACCTTGGACATGTTTCTGAAACCAGAACAGACAGTGATGCCTTACGCTGGTGCTTTGCAGTGTAAGTAAACACCTTTTTACCACATCATTGAGCACAAGCAGATATGACTCATTTTCCAAGAAATTTTAGAAGAAAAAACAGCATGAAATCTATCATAGAGAGCTATACAGTCGAACCTGTATTAAGGAGTCAATCAAGTCATTGCCCAGCTCGATCTTATCAGTCATAGCGGCTTTAAAATAGATATGGTCTTGATAAGAGAAGATCCGTCCTGGATCTAAAGACAGCCTTAAACAAGGTAGATTGACAACTTTCAATGACAGAATATTGGGTTTAGAGGCTTAGTTGTAGCGTGGTTTAAAAAAATATCAATAAATGGACCAAACGACTGACAATCGTGCGAAAGCAGGGGAGGACTTTAGACTTCAGACTTCAGACTTCAGACTTCAGACTTCATTCTTCAGACCTCGGACTTCAGACTCCAGAAATTTTTTTTTTTTTTAAATTGTTGAAAGTCGGAAGTCTGAAGTCTGTTGTTTGAAGTCCCTCAATCAATACTCGGGTTTTTTTTTCAATACACATACACGACCTTGCCGATAAGACTCACTATTCTACTATACGAATATAAGCGGATGATACCAGCATAACGTTCATCGACCGCTGCACCCCTGAACTGCAACACTATATAAATATTCCGATTTGTAACTACGCCTTCTGGACTGGCTGAAAACAATTTGATTCCCTTCCAAGGATTTTTGAATTGGAGTCTACCTCTTTCTTTTATTTATTAATAACAATATAGATACATCACAATTAAATAGTTTAGGAACGATTCCTAAAAATTGGAGCTCATTTACTGCGATCTTTATCGTCTGCCACCACCAACACACACTCTGAATATTTTCTAGACAGCCTGATTTCAAGAAACAGAGTAGACCACGACAGCTTTCAACAGCTATGCCATCCGCAAACAATAGTGTCTGACGTTAGAAAATAATCACCGCTAGATGATAAAGTTCTTACATACCCTAAACATTTTACATAACATTCTTAAGGAGTAAAACAGAGCCTTCCCATGGCTACAGTCCTTCTCCCATATTTCTCTACAGCTTCTTTTTGTTTTCCTTTCAGACCATGCAGAAGGGGACGCGGAGGACAGTTCAGCTTCGCACCCTGTCGCTGTTGAACCAGAACGACAGAGAAACCAACGAGGCCTGATTAAGGAGTAAATGGTGCGAGAACACTTTGCACAAACTAGGCTTTTGGAATTATATTCGTCTTACGGGTTCACATTAACTGAACAATTAGGATGTACGTGATGACTCTGCCTATCAGATTTACTTGCATAAATCACCAGGCTCAAAATGACAGTGGTATAATGTGCTGCGGCCATTAGTCAGCAATTTAAAAAGCAGTTAAGAAATAGATATTTTTAATAACTAGTATCAGTATTGTAAATATTTTTGTTATCTCTTGATGTTGTAGAAGACCTGTGAAAATCGACTTGATAAAGTCATCTATGTACATGCATCTATCTATCAATCAATCAATCAATTTATCTATCTATTGATCTATCTATCTATCTATCCATCCAGCTATCCAGCTATTGATCTGTTTATCTATCTATCTATCTATCTATCTATCTATCTATCTATCTATCTTTCTATCTATCTATAAATATCCAACCAAATAAAATTCATTTTACTTCGATCTTAGCGCGAAAAAGGTGTCAAATTTCGCGCGTATATGTGGATGTAGCATATACACCGTCACTTTTCTATTACTAATCAACCAGTGGCTTTGTTTCTTACCGATACAGAAAATCTTTGGAGTTTTCCTTTCTTGAAGACGACAGACGACTTTCGGCTTCTTTTGATCGGAACTTATCCAGGTTATTCCAAGCCTTTCGAGTGCCTCCACCAAGAAAATTCATACGCGCTTTTTTTCTTTTTTTAGAAACCATCACAAAGTTTGCGCGTTTTCAGCCTTTTGTTTTTTATCAAGGACTTTTTCATCCTTTTTTTTTTTAAGTTTCATGATGAGAAATTGACTTATCTTTCGATAAATATGGAACTCAAGTCAAATATTGCGTTAAACTGACCTCCCAGAGGGTTCACGCCTAACGGAGATCATGACGCCTTGATAGTCTATGAACTTTTTTTATGAGATATACTTTTCTCTTATATTTTGGAAACGAGATACTTAATTAATTTAAAACTTAAATACACAAAAAAACATTCAAGAAAAGAAGTGAATAAATCTTTATTTGATATTATGGAAAATTAAGATTCCTATCTCGATGTTGAAACCTCCAAAACTGTACCTTTGTCCATTCTTTATTGTTTACAGTATTAGGTTTCAGTTTTGTTACAGCTCTCGTAGCGTGAACAGTGTTTTGTCAAGTGGCGTTGTTTTTCGTACGTTTATTGCCTTCAATGGGTCGAACCAAGCGTTGTCCAGGTTGTAAAATTCCCCAAGCCGAGCACAAGTTCGGGAAATTTGATAAACACTGTCCCGGGCCGGTGCCAGATGATGAAGAAGAGTTAGTAGATGACGACGACACCGCCCCCCAAGCACAGGACGCTTCTCTGAACGATTCAATCATTCAAGCTACTTTGAATTCTTTGCTCGGTGCGGTCCAGTCGTTAACTACTGGTTTAGCAGAGGTTCAAGCAGATAATAAGAAGCTACGAGCCTTGGTGGAGAAGAAAAAGGCGACGGATGGTCACAACGCGTCCACGCTCCCACTTTCTGATGGCCATGATGTTGCTCCGGCTATGGCCCGCCTCTCCGAAAAGCTGATCTCCCGAAAAGCTGATCAACAAGTCGCCCAGCTTGGGTTAGCTGACTCCAGTGCGTCGACTAGTGATTCTGACGGTGACGACAGCGATCTGGAAAGTCCTCTTAGTACGAAGGCCAAGATAGCACACGCGCACGGCGGTAAGTCTCTTAAGTCTGGGAAAGAAGCCAAGATAACAAGCACCGTCTTGTATCCGCAGTCATGGCCACATTGTTATCTCAGCATTACTCACGGTCGCCGCGACGTCAAATACGAGGAGCTTAAACTCGAAGAATTCGTTGCCGGTTATGGCCAGATCCTCTTGTCCCCAGATTTATCTGAGGTGGAACGTTCTTCCCGTCTTAAACATCTGGTTTCGCTAATGTATTTTTCCCAGCTTTACGAGTGGCAGGCTGTTTTGAGTTTTCACGGCGCCGTTCTGTTAGAGATCGAACGTGGATTGCTCCAATGGGGAGATTCGTTTCTACCTTTAGAAAGCCGTACTTTGTATGGTCATCTCAAGGCAACCAAGCCGTCCGCGAGCGCTTCTTCTTCCGCGAACGTTCCGATTCTATTTTGTCGAGATTACCAAAGACAGACGTGCACGTTTGAACAAGATCACTACGGTTTGCTCCGCGGCGAGAGGAAATGGCTCCGTCACATTTGTGCCAACTGTTGGGTCAAAAGACGTACACAAGCTTTGCACCCGGAGGGATCGAAGGAGTGCCCTCTTTCCACTAATTCCGGGGCAAAAAACTAGGTTCATCGAGCACCTTCGTTCATTCTACAAATTTTCCTGATGAAGGTGCTCTCTACAGTGATTATTTCGTTTCTGAGGTTTTTGAACATGACGTTTTAGGTACGAGACTAAAACAATTTCAGTATGATAGTGCGAGACTTCATGTTTCTCCTTTTGTTGATGATTCAAGACTTTCGGCTTTTTCGTGTCAGTTTCCGGGAGCACGTTCCTGCCCTTCAAGTTCTTCGTTGAGGCTCAGTTCTCCCTTTCCCAATTTTCTCGACGTGCATCGCTCCGTGGCTCTGACCGGTGAGCCGAATTATCGCGTGGCACGGATTCCGGTTTTCTCTGCGTTAAATATCGCTAAGTGGCGTGAACTTGTTTTAAGGAAAACGTATCTGTATTATATCGCCAGGACAAGTGAATAAACGATCGAACTTCTGAAAAATTGTATGTAAATGAGCATGAACCTCTTGAAGCAGAGACTGTAATAGCCATTTTTAATGCATAGCTTAAGAGCCCGGCGAAGAAGCAGTCATCAGTTAAGAGTTTTATCTTTGGTTCCAGTTGAGAGAAAAGAGCAACAAACGTCATAAAAAATTTTTGCTTAGGAATGTAGCTGACTAACGGAAGGTCCCAATGGTTTTTCTTAAACTTGGGTCGAATCTCAGCTATAATTCTAAATGGTGTTAGTTGCCAACAAAAGACCAAAATCGGCATCGAAGGCCCTTGCATTTGGTGCTGCAATAGCCTTAAATTTCCTCGCCGCTCATGACATGGCATAAGCCTTTTCATTTTATACATACCGAGATTTACAAGGTGAATTACTATCTTTCGTGTAACTGATTGGACAAGCGATGTATTTTCAGAGTCGTTCGTTTCCAATCTTTGAAAAGTGTCAATTGGTTAGTACAAATTTCAGTAGGTATGAAATAAAAACATCATGGAAATTTCTGCGACAATTTTTATTCAGTCGCAGCGATGCATCAAAAAACTCACTCGTTTGCTTCGATCACCCGCTCGTTTTTGATGCATCGTAAACAAAAATCTTTCGTGCGCCTTTCCCATGGAATAATCCTTATTTGCCAAATGGGCCTAAGGATTAATTGTGAGTATGACTTCAAAGACTTTCTTGAAAACTCAGCTCGACATGTTTGTGCATGCAACCGTTCCTAACACCAACTAGCCACTTGTCTGCTAAGCACAGCTTGAAATATAGCTCATCCAGGAATATGCATCCTTAACACCTAAGAACGTAAGAATTCATCCTGCTTGACAAAGCGCGACAAAAAAAGGATTGAAGAATATTTTAGAGCTTTGCACCACGTCGTCTCCCTCTTTCCTTTATTCCCTCTATTGCGTTGTTTGTTCATTTATTGGTTGCTATTTAGTTGCAGATTAATAAAGCGACAAAGAAGTTTGAATGTCAGTTACTCGAGAATTCTCTTCTGGGGGTGTCAGTCTAGCTCACCCAACCCAGGTAATAAAGACAACTGCCAGTGACTTATGCCATGTCGAAGGCTATACAATAACGAGAAAAAATGTGTAGCACACCAATTAAACATATTTGTTACATACTTAGACTTTCGCTCAACAAAATGAGCGCTGTAATTGGTTGATTCTTGGTCACGTGCCCCTGATCAAATTCAAATGTATCCCGACCGGGATACAATTGCCCAGTTGTTGCCCGCGCTCCGAATACAACAGCACATGATTGTTTGAAGGAAAGTTTAAATACATAACAAAGCACTCAATGTACGGTCCTTCGGGAAACTAGTTAGTTTTTTTTCCTTCGAGTCCTATGTTTCCCGAGACGAAGTTGAGGGAAAACAAAACTAACTGTTTCCCTCTGGACTATACATTAAGTGTAAAATGTTTGTTAAGTAAGTGTTTTGCCGACCAGCAATTTCATACACAATGTTTCGCGGAAATCTTCAGCCCTCTCAAGTAAAGAGTGAACATAAAAACAATTACGAGCTAAAAAATTGAAAAACATAAAAAGCTTAAGATCGTTAAGTGCTTACAAAGTCGCGGAAAATTATAGTGTATAGGAAACATGTTATTTAGGTTATATATCATCGTACAATGAAAAAAAAGGGACAATGTAAAAAATGTGCGAATAGAAAAAAAAGCATCTCTTTTACAAGAATGATTCTTAGATCTGAACTCGCGCCTTTCAGTTGAGGCCATTAGAGTTCTGTATAAACAATTGAGCAATCTAATGCACTTCCTTAGTTAATAACATTCCATATGACCAGCGTCTTCGGGGATGAAAATTTTTTCAATGACAATAAAACTTATTTCTTTAATCTCATATTTGATAGAATTGAAATGGACCGCCAGCTCACGTGTTCAAATGTCGTTGAGCTTGGCCATGGATGATTTATGGATAGATCCCACATGCTCGTACCGCAATTTCCATGTTTTTTTTTTCTTTTTGAATTCATATCTATCTATAGAGTAGTTATTAAAGTTCAACGTATACGCGTACGTATGCGCACACGCAACACATATCACTTAAAATCACAGTCCTGGGATAATATACGAAAGGTTCGCTACACTTAGAACTGGACATAAATAACGACATAACCGCATAAATTCAATCCTGAATGCCGCAGAGATTTTAGGTATACAAGTGGTTTCGTATATGAGATTCAGTCCATTGAAATATTTTTCGTCAACATTTCTCATTAACTGGATTTTTCTTCCTTTCCTCTTATCAATCAAACAAAGTGATAAACTGCGCAACTCTGCAATTCTTGAAGGCGTCCAAAACATTGGAGACAAGTTAAAACAAGGGCCAGCGTTCCTCGTTATTGGCGATGCTTATTACAATCTTGGTGATTTCAGACAGGCTTTGCACAACCACAAACTTTATCTTTCATACATCGAAGAAGAAGACAGGGCTGCTATAGGGCGCACGGTATTCTTAGACCATATCGGGCTTGGAAACCATAAAAACATGAAGAACTGCTAAAGCTGAAGAAGGAAAGTTGGCGATGTGGTATAAATGTTGTGAAGACACATATCGGCTGCTGTTATCTTTTCGAATACCATGAAAATATCATAGGAAGAACAAAGAGGGTGAAGGTATTGATGACCTTGCTTTAAGCTTGGGGAAGGAAAGGCCATAACATACAACGAGAGAGGCTAGACATTGCAAGAGAAGCTAAGAACTGCGCTGAAGAAGGGAAAGGCGTGTTAGTGAGAAAACATTTGATAGCAAAGAAACATTTGATAACCTACGAAAGCCAAGTCATTCGAACGATGAGTGGGTAATAAATATTCAAGATGAATACAAAATTGTAATTGTTGCTTTATGGAGAACTCTTTTAAAACAAAAGAAAACTAAGGATGCTCTCCCAGTTGCTGAGGAAGGACGTGCCCAAGCCTTGGTAGATCTTCTGAAGTTAACATCTGAGAGCGACTGTCCTGAAATCGATCATTTGGACCGTTTGCCCAGCCTGCTTTCCAGTCTTTCTTGTGTCACACTCTTCTTAGAGTAAGCAATTGAGAAGAAAAACATTACTATCTGGGTCCTCAATGGAAATGACGTTCAAGTAAGACAAAGTAAAATTGACGAGCGGTCTCGAGCTCTGGGACAGGAACTCAACTTGACATTTGATTCTTTGGTACAAGCGGCTTATTTTCTCCTTTAAATTGAAGTTCATTCGTTGTCGGAGGGTTGTGCTCTAAAGGCGGAAGTAATCAGACGAGAACGAGACGAATCGAAGGAAGAAGCACTAAAAATGTTATACGATGTCGTGATAAGACCTGTAGAAGACCTCCTCACCGGAGATGAAATAATTATTGTCCCAGATGGCCCACTCTGTAGAGCGCCTTTTACAGCATTCATCGACTCGCATGATAGATACATATGTGAATCTTACAGAGTACGATTAGTTCCTTCACTAACGAGTTTGAAATTGATTGCGGATTCTCCAAAGTTCCATGGCAAAGGACGCGTGCTTCTCGTTGGTAATCCGAACCTTGCGGAGATTGTTACCGAACAGCCGTGGAACTGGAATCTTCCAGGAGCTGAAGACGAAGTCAAGAATGTAGGCAGAATTCTTAAAAGTGAGCCCCTCATTGGAAAAGATGCGACGAAAGAGGAAGTGCTAAGGCGCCTTAAATTTGCCTCTTTAGTACACATTGCTGCGCAGGGTGGTGACGAAAATGGAGAAATTTTGTTGACACCAAACCCAATAAGGGAATCGCAAGAACCAAGAGTGGAGGACTACATGCTAACAATACTGATTTAACTGCTCTTCAATTACAAGCGAGAATGGTAGTGTTAAGTTGCTGCCATAGTGTATGAGGAAAGATAAAAGCGGAAGGTGCAGTTGGCATCGCACGAGGCTTTTTGGCGGCAGGTACACGTTGTGTTTTGGTGGCATTATGGGAGATTGATGACAATGTCACTCTGGAGTTAATGAAGTGTTTTTATAAACAATTAGTTGCTGAAAAGAAAGCCAGTGAAGCACTTAATCAAGCTTTGAAACATGTTAGGGAGTATCAAGATTATGTGAAGGATTGGGCTGCCTTTCATCTAATTGGAGATGACGTCAAGTTGGATTTCTTAGCAGAAGAAAAGATTCAAAACGTAAGCCATGACCTGGATTGCGAAACGTTTGGATGAGTTCTGCAAAATGTACACTCCGTCTTAGGTGTAAGAATACAATTGGAAATCGTAAGCTCTTGAAAGTACGTGAATGCTCTGAATATTTCTACTTCGAAATGAATCTCAAACCACTTTTTACGAAGGAATCTAAATAACTTTCACGTATAAAAAAGATTTAAATTGCGTAAAAATTTTATGTTCACTAAATCGTGGTGGCAAACCACCAACTGCTTGGACCAATAAAGGGCTACTCGAGCATGCAATAACTTTCTTATCTCTCGGTAACCTTGAATTATTGATCTATGCATAGTTAAAAGGAAATGACGTCATGTGGGGTCGTTCAGAATTGAATAGATACAAAACTAAGAGACACAAAGAAAGAGTTGGTCCATAATCAACTTGATGACACAGTGAAATCTCAAAAAGAAATGTCTTATTTTGTTTGGCCTGATAAAAGTGTAGATGTAGCGTCAATTTTTTTATTTGAACAATGTCATAAAGAGCTTTTTTTCCTTTAATTTTCCTTTGAATAGAGTCAATAATTGTCTACAGGCTAAAAAGTCGGAAGGAAGACGGCACGGGTAAAAAATACTGCTATATTTAAATCTGTAGGGAATTCTGCCTTATTAGTGTATCAATGAAGTTTAAATTGAGAGCAATTTGCCGCAAAAGCAAACCGCAGAGTATGTGTGCCGCAACAGAGGCTACTCCAGTAGCTCAATTGTTCCCAAGCTACCCGATGAAATAAAAAAAGATTACGGTGGCAATTAGAAAGCGTCGCGCATTCAATGTTGTCATCTAAACTTACCTGATTAGATGATTTTCCACTTCTTGCTGTCTGAAATTTCTAGCCCCACATCTTCTGCATTTTAGCACCTTTTTGAAAATTCAATTGTTACAGCAGTCGTTGACTCCCTTAAAATTTTTTAGAATAATTACTTAACAACCCAACGTGAAAACTTTATTGTTTTTTACTTACCCAGCCTCAAGAAAGATGCATGGAAAAGCTCGACTTTTGAGGTCAAATTTCAGTAATTTAATAGTGGAGGTTCACCTAAGTGTCAAAAAAAGGAACATTTCCTCAAAAATGGAAAGTACGTGGAAGTGTGTAGTTACAACGAATAAACAACAGCTTGACATCAATGCAGTCATGATAAGTGATGTGAACATAACTAAATGGAGCACAATTAATCGTATATGCATCTTGAATTGGTTGAGCTCGATTCGTGAGGCTGATGTGGTTATGCCAAAATTGTACAACGCTAAGTTCAATAACCAATTTGCGTTCACAAGAATTGGAATAATTTGTTTTTTAAGCTTTATTTTCGAATCAATATGTCAACTGTTTTTAATTCTAGCACAGGAAAATAAAATGGAACATTATATTCTTCCTCTTTCCGTTTGAAAACTGAAGCACACAAGCCTGCTTGTCGCGCTTCATTTTGGCTGGTTGGTATTGACGACGGAAGGCCGTTAAATCTCGTCTGTCAGTAAGCACTTGCTGCTTAAATATTATTGGCTTATGACTGTCTGATTCAAGCTGCTTTACAGGTCAGGTCAAATCCGACAACTGATTGACGTTGTTCAGAACCATTCAAATTAGAGTAGCTTGTTATTCGCAAAACTAGTTATGCAATTAAAATTACTCTCAATCTCATTGATCGTTTGATTGTTCCACAACCCAGCAGAACCTTCTCAACCAATCAGCGTGATTTAAATCTTCCAAATCATTAATCTTCATCGTCACTATTCGCAAAGTCTGTCAAATCTATTTTGTTTTAATTACAACTATATGGCACACTAGAATTTCGAACTTATAGTCTTCTTTAAGATAGATTCTCAACCTCACAAACAACGTCTCAAAATGTTTCGCTATGCATCTAGAAGGGAATCACTCCCACCTGCAATTCCTCTTTCATGAATTTTACAAATCTATCGAAATATTGTGTCTACTTATTGTTGTTTTTTTTTTCAGGATTGTTCTTGAGTTGCCACGCACTAATTTACAACAAGTGGTAGCTGGCTGAAGAATAAAAGGAAAACTAAAAGAATTAGTTTGTTAAACTGACGAAAATAGAAAGCTCCTTGCTATCAAAGCAATTAGACACCAAATTGAAAACGACGTTTATTGCACGATTCGCGCTTATTACTATATTCAAATCAAGTTTAGGCTTTGCGCACAATTGATTTTTTTCTTGAATTTTCTTCGTTCATATTTTGTAAATGCACGAATTCTATTCTTTGCAAACTGTTACAAATGCGATTTACCGGCAACAGATTGATGACTCATTGCTTCATTGATTTGCTTCACACATACTGTCTTATATCTTTATATAAATACTTTTCCTGGGTCTTCACTTGTCATACCTTCGGCCACTTAACGGCATAATTGGGCATGTAAAGAGAAATTATCTTTAAGAGATCCTGGAGTTCAGCCTCAATGTAAATTTTGCTTTCGATTAAGAAAACAGTGGGAGAAAACAATTGATTGTCTTTTGGACTACAGCTTTGTTTCAGAATTGTACCAAAACTTCCCTCCGACATTTTTTTGCCCGTCATTGATTTCCATTTGTTTTACTTTGTATATTGTTTTATTCTAAAAAGCATTGGCAGAGGATGACTCCTTCGATATAGTTGTATTTATTGTGAAAGGATACATGAATAAATAATCACCTCGAACGTTGTACATAAAACCATGATTAATGTATTGTTTTTCAAGATTAGTTTTCACCTTGAACCACAAACAGCAAATATAACTCGTCCTTCAGCTATGGCATTCCTAGCTGAACTCATTTTTATCATTCAACTACTTGTCGCTGTTTCCCCGTCCAGCATGGCTCTAAAGCAATGTAAAGTCAAGAATACTTCGAAGCCAGGATTTTTCCTCGTTGGTTATGTACTGAAATCATTCACAGCTGAAAGACTGGCATTTTGCTACAGTACTTGTAACACGGATCCGTCTTGTCAAAGTTTAAATTATAACCTCGCTTCAAAAACCTGCCAATTGAATTCAGAATCAAGGAAAAGTCAGCCCAACAGTTTTCACGCGAGGGAGGGTTCTGTTTACTCTGATAATCCTGATCGAGGTAAGAGTTTTAAAGCGATAATCTGATAATTTATGAAAAAGATGTCGCTACCTATTCGCTTTCACGATTGCTTAAGTAATTCAGCTAGTTCCCTGCAAGTGACGACAGTTTTCCATTTTTGTGGGAGTCGGGGAAGGGTATTGCTTATCTTTGATAGTTTTGAAAGCAGTTTTGTTCAATATTTGATTTAAAAATGTCGTATGTATGTGCTAAGTTCTCTCAATGTAGCTGTTATGCCTAGAAATATGAGAGTTTGATAAATATTACTGTCAAAGTAATACTCTTGTAGATAATCTCATAAACGAAACCAAAGTTCCCGAGACGCCTGCCTCTCAGTCAACATCGATGAGACTTCCCAAACAAACGTGCTCAGTTAAAACAGGCCGCTTAGGCATCCAGGAGAGTTTTGTTTCCACGCAAAAAGAAGCACGAAACCAAAATCGAATTGTAATGTATAGCCATGGTTTTAGCTTTGCAGAACCACCCCACGAGTGTGTAAACATCTAAGAAAAATATTTAAAAAATGTATCGTTAAATTAATGCCAGTTATATTAATAAAGAACTGAATAGTAGAAATTGTGAATTTAGTTTTCCTTTTACGAACCTTCACAGGATATTACCGTTGTAACACAAAACTAATATTCGCTGGGGGGTGGGAGTTAGGTTCACTTTCCATTATCTTAAGCATATTGTTTTCGCATAAGAAAAAAAATTGAAAAATCTCCTTCCCCCTAGAGGGAGCAATTCATCCATTTATTTGCTCATTTGTTCATCTATTCATCAAAAGTCTTATGTTACCCGAAACATTTGAAATATATGCTAGAAGAAAAGAAGCAATCACGTGACGCATTCTAAAAATGTATTTATCACCCAGCTTTACGCAAAGATAATTTGTATCCAAGACCGTCATCAATCTAAATCAAGGGTCATGCTATTGACAAAAATTTCCTGTTGTTATGTTATGAAGGAAAGAAAGGGTCCTTGCCTACGGTACCAGGCTTTTCATGTAGAAATATCGACGAAAATGGAGATCTGGACTTTAGCGGCTTTTATTGGATACGACCGCCAGGGTCTCTTGTTAGCTTCCAAGGATACTGTGACAAGTCAGCTGTTGGACGTAAGTTTACTGATTGATCAAACAAATTTGTTATGAACAGTAGCTAATGGGCAAAATAAAAATGTTGTGGGCTCTATTAAGAATGGACTCAATGGATTGTCCTCGAGTCTTAAAAATGATTTCTTGCAACGCAAATCATTAAAAAACAAACAAACAGACAGACAGACAAAAACGAAAAAAAAAGAAAAAACGCCAAACGAAACAAAACAAAACAAAGGGAAAAAAAAGAAAACATACTCTGCAAAAACATTTACCACAACTGTCCCATGGAATTTCAATCTTCTCTGTTTCATTTCATTTTGACGATTTTTCGGTTGTTTTATGGAACGAGTTATTCCGTCTAAGATTTGATCGTTTAATCATGTCACACAAGAACGTAGGCTTAATGTCACTTCTACACGTATAAGAGATATTACTGTTCGTAACAGAACAGAATTGGTAGCATGTTTGTGGCCATTCAGTTGCATTATATGTGAAGAGAGAGAGGTTGTTAGGATGTTAATTTTTTTCTCCCTGTGTAAGAATGGACGAAGGTAACTCCGCAATGGATCAAGCAAACATATAAAGATGGAGTGACGCTGACCTACACCGAAGAAAATGACGGGCTCGTCATTTCAGGTCAGGTAACCAGATATGCGTGTGGTTCTGGTGAACCTCCTGGGGCTCTGACCCTGATTAAAGGCTACTGGACTAGGATAAAGTACACTCAAGAATTCCGTGGAATAGTTTCGTGTTGGAGCATATTTGGAGATAACAGGTGAGTATACATACACATGTACATTTAAATCGTTTCAGTACCAGAATGTTTTCTCGACAATTTGTGACCCTCCACGGGATTTCAGGGAATAAAGTGAACGCACGCACACGGTACACTAACACGCTTTTCACGATATAACACTGTGACCGTGCCAGTTTTATAACACGCCGGCTTCGCTCGGAAGGCTTGGCTTCGCTCGGAAGGCTTGGCTTCGCTCGGAAGGCTTGGCTTCGCTCGGAAGGCTTCGCTTTGCGCCGGCTAACTAGCGGTTATTCATTTTAAAAATGCTGGTTTGCATTGAGTGATGAATAACGACCGTGTAGGAGACATGGAGCCGGAAAACTGTTGCTGAAGGATTCACAAAGATTCGGTATTGGGCTTATTAACTTCATGAAGCGATAAGGATTTATATCTTATAAGGTAAGAAATAATTTTTAAAAAGTAATTCATGTGTTCAAACGGAGCTCCTCCGGACCTTGTGAAACACGTCGTGCTCAATGAATTCCTTGTGAAAATCCTCAGGGAAAGAGCCGCCGTTTGCCGTGAACGTTTCCTTTTTTCATGACAACTTTCGAATAGGATCGACAGAAGATCTTCTTCATTTTTGCCTATATTCTATAAGTAATATACTTTACAAACACCATTCTCACAATAATTTAGTAACAAAGTGAGCTGGGTTGTACAAGTAAGCTAGCGTGTTAAGGAACAAAGGAACTTAGCTTGTTAAAAAAAAACAAAAAATCCAGCGTGTTATGGAAACAATACTCTACCGTGTTGGCCAGATATGAACAATGGCCACAACAAGCTTTCCAAAATCAATTATTTTTATTTGCACATCTGCACGGTAAGCGTGGCATACCATTAGCGTGCGAGCGTGTTATAACGTGCCGTGTGCGTGCGTTCACCCTATTCCCTGAAACCCCGTGGAGGGTCACATTTAGTGAACCTGAAAAAAGCTGTAGGAGTTCAAAAGTAAATTGCATAGGTTATGAAACTCGAGAGAAGTTGATTATGTTTTGGAATCCTAGGTATGGTCGAACTTCAGTTGAAAACAAACCAACAGGTGTGCATCCCTTTAATTCCTCTCAAGGAGATTCCATCACAAATCAACACTTCATGGGTGGAAATTGTGAGTAAAGTGTTCCTTTGTTTGTTTTTATTTTCTTTCGAGGTACAATGCTATTTCATTGCCGTTTCTTTAGGTTGTCGTTTAATATTTCCTTTGATTTCCACCAAGTTCGCAGTAAATATGTTTCCAAGATAAACAAAAAGCTATTGAATAAAAAAAAAATCCTCTATATGAAATTAAAGCCGGGAAAAAAAACGAGGTAGGGTGGGAGTGGCATCCACCAGCCCCCACCTCTCTCCCCTTGTACTTCCAAAGATTAAAGTTACTATCACGGCAGTTAATGATCCACAAATTTGTTCAACGACAAATAAACGAAACTAAACAAAAAAAGTTAACGAAACCTTAAATACCCTAAATTTCCGGGATCAAAATTCTCGTCAACTTAGATAATTAAAAGGTCATTTTTAGCTCGAGTTTTTTAACTTTTGTTCTATTTAAATCTTTTAGCTCACATCTTTGATGGTAAAACAACAAAATGCAACAATGTAAACACAAACTTTTGGCGAAACAATAACCCCAGTGTACGCTATACAACGGTGATTCTCAGGAGAGAACTGAGTGCAGAAAATGCTGGTATTTTTACCGGCACATCGTGTGGCAAACCAACATACAAGATCAAGAATATTTACGTATACTTTTGAAAAGAAAGTAACGGATAAAAGTTGTTTATAGCGGTGTTGATTGTCTCTTTGTGATTCAGTCGTGTTATGCAAAGTTTGCATGTGTGTTGCCAAAGTAATATACTCCTTTTCATTCGGGCTCAAGGGTATGTAATGTAAATAAAGACTTAGATCAGGGATTAAATCTAAGCTGACTAACCTTTTTACGAGCATACTGCATATGAATATCAATGAAAAAGACATTTGGATATAATTTTATAAAATTGTGAAATTTGGATGGAGAGAAGTTTCAGTTCGTCATATATTCATTGTTACAATTACATGCAGTTATAACTCCCAAGAATTCACAATATCGGGTAAAATGCGAATTTTTCATATACGGAGAAATCCAAGGCTATAATACGATGAAGCAATGTTTTCTGCTTTGTTGGGTGTTATTTTCCTTCTAATTTTCCTGCAAAGTCTTATAGGTTGTTACTTTCTCCTTATTTGTCCGCCGTTTTGTTGTTTTTTGTTGTAATTGTTGTTGTTGTTTTTTTGTGTGCTTTCGCGTCAGGCTTCTTTTTTCCCACCTCAACACTTTTGCTTGCCTTAGCCATCTGCACTTGGCGACTGATAAGACAGTAAATCAAGACCACCCCATGCAATTTTTCCTAGCAGCTTGCATCATGATAATCAACAGTTGCATCGAAAGAAAATAGATAGAAGAACAGCTCCATTATTTTTTTGACTCCGGAAAAATTCACTTACTAGCCCAAACATTGAGGCAAAATCAAAAAACATACCTCTATCAAACGTGTCATTTCACCTGTTCTGTTACTTCCGTCTATTCCCAAAATTTTCGCCTCTTTCACTTGTTGATGACCACCATCTTGAGTACACGTGAAGATCAGTATCTATTTATTAATTTCCAATAGGATTATTGGTACATACGGCGTGTAATAACGAAAAAAATCAGCGAACATTTCCAATTGGCATGGGTAATAAAAATCTTCGATTCCCGAAATGGTCGCCATGTTGTAACGTCACGTGGTTATCAAATCTTCCAGGAACTGAGGACGAACTCAAAAATATAGGCAGAATTCTTAATTCTGGAGGAGGAAGTGAACCTCCGTTCTCAGGGCCATAACTTCATTTTACCTCGTATTCGTACGGAACGTTTTAAGCGAACTTTTATTAACAGATGTCTTCTTAGTTTTATTTAGATTACACCTAGTTTTGTCTTTAGTGATGAATGTAAACCTTGCACGTTCGTTGGCAGGTGTACCTTGTTGTGTAATTAATAAAGACTACATACGTACATACATACATACATACATACATACGTTGTTGTCATGACAATCTTAAAACATGTCGCGTAAAGAGCGCTGCAGTCACAGAATTTACGGTCATTTCGCATATACATTAAGTTCACAATTGTACTTGTTTTTGAATCCCAAACCCTCGGCTTAAAGCCGAACCCCGTTTCTCGTGAAAAAGTCTCCCAAACTTTTGTGTCATATACTGAAACTCGGCTTACTCGGCTTGTAAGTGAAGAAATACCGTATATCTCTGTATGAATACTTTTCCTGGGTCTTCACTTGTCATACCCTCGGCTACTTAACGGTGTGATTGGGCATGTAAAGAGAAATTATCTTGATAAGCTACTCAAGGTCAGCCTCAATGTAAATTTCGCTTTCGATAAAGAAAACAATAGCGGAAACAACTGAATGCCTTTTGGACTACAGCTTTGTTCAGAATTGTACGAAAAAGTTTCTACAACATTTTTTTTTGTTTTTTATTAATTTTCATTTGTTTTACTTTGCTCATTGTTTTCTTCTAAAAAGCATTTGCAGAGGATGACTTCCTTGATATAGTTCTATTTTTAGTGAAAGGATGCCTAAATATATAATTTGTTTGATTGTTGTACATGAAATCATAATTAATGTATTGCTTTTCAAGATTGGTTTTCATATTGACCTACAAACAGTAAAGATAACTCATCCTTCAGCTATGGCATTGCTAGCTGATCTCATTTTCACCATTCAACTACTTGTCGCTGTTTCCCCGTCCAGCATGGCTCTAAAGCAATGTAAAGTCAAGACTACTTCGAAGCCAGGATTTTTCCTCGTTGGTTATGTACTTAAGTCATTCACAGCTGAAAGATTGGCATTTTGCTACAGTACTTGTAGCACGGATCCGTCTTGTCAAAGTTTAAATTATAACCTCGCTTCAAAAACCTGCCAATTGAATTCAGAATCAAGGAAAAGTAAACCTGACAGTTTTCACGCGAGCGATGGTTACGTTTACTCTGATAATCCTGATCGGGGTAAGAGTTTTAAAGCAATGATCTGATAATATATGAAAAAAATGTCGCCAACAATTCTCTTTCACGATTGCTTAAGTAATTCAGCTGGTTTCCTGCAAGTGAGGACAGTTTTCCTTTTTTCTCTCGGGGTCGGGGGTGTATTGCTTATCTGATAGTTTTGGAGCAGTGTTGCTCAACCTTTGATTTACACATGTCGTATGTATGTTGTAAGTTCTCTTGATGTAGCTGTTATGCCTGGAGCGAGGAGAGTTCGATCAATATTACTGTCAAGGAAAAGCAACGTCAAATACACTCATAGATAAACTTATAAACGAAAGCATATTTCCCGAGACGCCCGCCTAACAGTGGTAGAAATTGCGAATCTAGATTTCCTCCTATAAACCTTCACGGGGAATAACTGTTGTAATACAAAACTTATATTCGCTGGAAGGTGAGAGTAACGTTTCAATGTCCATTATATTAAGCATCTTGTGTTCGCAAAAAAAAAAAAAAAAAAAAAAAAGGAAAACCTCCTTCCCCCCTATAGTGAGTTATTCATTCATTTATTTGCTTATTTGTTCATCTTTTCATCAAAAATCTTGTTACCCGACACATTTGAAATTTCCTCTTATAAACCTTCACGGAATACAACCGTTGCAACAAAAAACCAATGTTTCCTGGGAGGCGAGAATTACGTTTCACTTTCCATTATATTAAGCATATTTTTTTCCGAATCAAAAGTCTCATGTTACCCGAAACATTTGAAATATAAGCCGGAAGAAAAGAAGCAATCACGTGACGCAATATATATATATATATATATATATATATATATGTATTCATCCCCCAGCTTTACGCAAAGAAATTTTGTATCAAGGACCGTCATCAATCTTGATCAAGTGTCATACTATTGACAGAATTTTCCTGGTGTTTTGTTCTAAAGGAAAGAAAGGGTCCTTGCCCACGGTACCAGGCTTTTCATGTAGAAATATTGACGAAAATGGAGATCTGGACTCAAGCGGCGTTTATTGGATTCGACCTGCAGGGTCTCTTGTCAGTTTCCAAGGATACTGTGATAAGTCAGCTATTGGACGTAAGTTTACCGATCGATCAAACAAATTAATTATAAACGATAACTAGGGGTAAGATAAACATAGGCATGTATGCATGCAAGAGTTATTTTTTGGGGGTGGGTAGATTACTTGAAACATTGTAATTTTAAAAACATTTTACATTGTTAACGTGGAAAAGAACGAAAATGTCGAGTTAACTTACATACAGCTATTTTGTGGTAGATTGCGTACTGCATAATGGCGAGTAACTGTTGCCAAAAATAAATTGTATTGGTGCCACGGACACCTGTTAGTACAAAATGCAGACTGCAGACTGCCGACTACAGACCGGATACAAAATGTAGGCTAGGTACAAAATGTAGACTAGGTACAAAATGTAGACTGCAGACTGCAGAGTGAATAATGCAGACTGGGAATCTAAAGATTTTTTTCTTCTGGTATGTGATAACATGTCATCCTACAACTTACCGAGCGTCACGCAATCGCTTTTCCGCGATCAGCTTTCACGATTATTAACACTATTGTTGAATATTCCTGGCCCATTTCTTGATCAACATCGATCTTAATATAATTTCAAGCCTTCATATAGTCTTCTCACTTTTCGCGCAAGTTGGTTGGTGTGATGTCCGTACAGATTTTATGAAGGTAGTAAAAGTAGATGTAGATGTAAATGAGATGTCACTATTAAATATTTAATACGCGTAACATTCGAGAAACAATTGACAGCTTTGCACGTGGTCCGTATTATCATCTTTTTGAGCGGTATGTGTTTATTTTGTTGACAAAAATGCGGACCGAGACCAAAACTGTTCCTCCGACTTGATAAATTTTCGACGTTAGTAGATCACATCGTATTAACTTACCTCCGTAAATCATTTATTCCAGATAATAAAATCAAATAAACGTGGCAACGATGGTATTTGAATTCGTCCTTGGCCAAACACTAACGACTCCACAAGATCACTTTCTCCAGGCATCGAAAACATACACAAAATCGTCCATAGTTAATTTTAATCAGACATTCATCTAGAGATAGCACCGAGCAAACCAATCCAGAAAAATATAATCGGTACACTTAACAAATCATGAATCTTGCAACACAGCTTGCCGTTAAAGACCTGCTCAAATCAAAATGTTTATTGGTGCAATTCATCAACACCTCAAGCAATATTTGATTCAAAATTTTTCCACTCACCCTCGTCGTGAAGGAACAATAACCATCATCATGCAACAGTGCACAGGACTCCATTTTCTCTCGAACAACTATCCACCACTTTCATAGCATGAGTAACACGTTTACTATAGGTAATCTGATATCTTTCAGCTGTCCAGTTGTATCGCATTTCTCTTAAAGCGCGGTAAAATACACGTTAAAAACACAGAAAAACCAACATTTCTCATTCTAAAAGATGATTCCATTTTACGAACCGCTCTCTCCGAATCCCCGATTACTTCGTTGAAATTTGAACACTCTCAAACCAAAGAACAAAAACGACGCTCTGATTAGTGTGAGATACATACCCTAAACGATCTGATCTGTGCAAGCAACATACCACTCTCTAAACGCTAACATATATGTTATTTAAAAAACAAATAAATAAAATAAAATAACTCAAAAATAATGTGGGCTTTCTTAAAAGTTGATTCAATGGATTGTCATTGAGCCTTAAATATAATTTCTTGCAACGCAAATTATTAAAAAAAAAACAACAAACAGGCAGTAAAAAAACAAAAAAGCAAAAAACGCAAAACACAACAAAGCAAAGCAAAAGAAGAAAGAAAAAAAGAAAACATACTCTGCAAAACATTTACCACAACGATCCCATGGAATTTCAATCTTATCTGTTTCATTTCATTTTGACGCTTTTTCTGTCATTTTACGGAACAGGTTATTCCGTCTAAGATTTGATCGTATAATCATGTCACACCAGACCATAGGCTTAATGTCACTTCTACATCTGTAAGCGATATTACTGTTCGTAACACAACAGAATTGGTAGCATGTTTGTGCCCACTCAATTGCATTCTACATGAAGACAGAGAGGTTGTTAGGATGTTAATTTTTTTCTCCCTGTACAAGAATGGACGAAGGTAACTCAGCAATGGATCAAGCAAACTTTTAAAGATGGAGTGACGCTGACCTACGCTGAAGAAAATGACGGGCTCGTCATTTCAGGCCAGGTGACCAGAAATGCGTGTGGTTATGGTGAACCTCCCGGGGCTCTGACCCTGATTAAAGGCTATTGGACCAGGATAAAATACACTCAAGAGTTCCGTGGAATAGCTTCGTGTTGGAGCATATTTGGAGATAACAGGTTTGTATATATACACATGTACATTGAAATCGTTTCAGTACCAGAATGTTGCTCGACAATTTAATGAGCCTGAAATAAGCTGCAGGAGCTTGAAAGTAAAGTGCAAAGGTTATGAAACTCGAGAGAAGTTGATTATGTTTTTGAATTCTAGGTATGGTCGAACTTCAGTTGGAAACAAATCAACAGGTGTGCATCCCCTTGATTCCTCTCAAGGAGATTCCATCACAAATGAATACTTCATGGGTGGAGATTGTGAGTAAAGCGTTTCTCTGTTTCTTTCTTATTTTCTCTTGAGATACAGTGCTATTTCATCGCCATTTCTTTAGGTTGTCATTTTATATTTCCTTTGATTTCCACCAAGTTTGCCGTAAATATGTCTCCATGATAAACAGAAAGCTATTGAGATGGACAGTTCCTCAGATAAAATCCTCCTTATGAAATTGAAGAGAAAAAAAAAAGATAGGGTGGGAGTGGCATCCATCAGCCCCCACTTCCCTCCCCCTGTACTTCCAAAAGTTAAAGTTACTATCACGGCAGTTAAGGATCCACAAATTTGTTCAACGAAGAGAAAATTAAAACAAAACAAAAACAAGTTACGAAACCTAAAATACCCTGAATTTTCGGGATCAAAATTCTCGTCAACTTAGATAATTAAAAGATAATTTCTAGCTCGAGTTTTTAAACTTTTGTTTTATTTTAATCTTTTAGCTCACATCTTTGATGGTGAAACAACAAAGTGCGTCGATGTAAACACAAACTTTTGGCATAACAATAACCCCAGTGTACGCTATGCAACGGTGATTCTCAGGAGAGATCTGAGTGCAGAAAATGCCGGTATTTTTACCGGCACATCGTGTGGCACACCAACGTACAAGATAAAGGATATTTACGTATACTTTTAAAAGTATTTTGATCTTCGTCGAGAAGGGCTGATTTGACGCTTTAATATATTTCATTTCATCGGCTTTATATCACTTCTGCACGTATGGGAGATATAACTATTCGTAAAAAAATAGAATTGGTAGCCTGTTTTATTATATTTAATATATTACGATGAAGTAATTTTTTCTGCTTTGTTGGGTGTTCTTTCTCTTCCTGCAAACTCAATTCTAAGTCGGAAGCTCTTATAGCTTAAGTGATGGACAAGTTTTTGAATGCCATTTCACATTTTAAAAGAACCTAATAACAAACTATAACGAGGAACTATGTCGATTTTCATGACTAATATTTGCATTTACTCTCATAGTAATGATCTGAATTCAGATGAACACTACCACATTTGTGACCCTTAATAAACAAATCAGTGATCAAATCAATCAATCAATCAATATTTCAAATTCATGTCAAACAACAGTCCACTCTCAGGTGGGACTAGAAATAGAGGGTGGAAGCGGATTTGTGCCTTCGAGACCAAGAGCTTCTGATCCATTTAAGACATATCCATAGCCACCCTTATAATATAAAAATAAGTTTGTATAGACTGCGACATGTCCACCTCCGCCATCCAGCATTTTCAGACAGAGTACACAAAATTTGATGTGAAAACTGTTTGTCCCAATAAGTATAGATGTCATGTCACTAAGGTTCATACGCTATCTAAGGCTTCGAAATAAAAAAAGAACCTTGTTAAATAGGACTGGATTATGAAATTGCATGTCCTGGTGCCCCATACAACGGTACCTCACAATTCAAGGAGTGCCTCCCCTTCAGGAAACAACTTAGCAAACCAGGAGCCCATTAAGTAATGGGCTCCTGGCAAAAAGACACACCTTGGCCTTGAGGTGAGCTTTAATTCTTAACTTTTATTCCAATAGACATGAAACGCAAGCGCACATGGATAAAAATGAGCTCAGCGACCCACCTGTTGCAAAACAATTGCAAGCTCTGAACACCGATTTGCGGAATCATACTCATTACGCTATTGCTATTATTATCACTTTAGAGGGCAATAAAATAATGAATACTGAAAAATCACGGAGGCGTCTACGAGTAATATGGCTTTTAATTTCATTTAACGAAGATGCACCATCAAGCGAAGATGGCGAGAAATTACAAAATCTCAGTAATCACTTGGGAAAAAAAAGTATTTTAAGGCTTTGATACAACTTGGACACTTTAGAGTAAAAGACGTTTTCGTCGGTACTATTTCGAAGAACTGTACAAAAATTAGGTACATCAATCAGCATCATGATATTTTGTTTCTTTTGTTTAATTTATTCTGTTTCTTTTTTAGTCTTTCGTTGTTTTAGTTTTAGTACTTGCTGCTTGAGGAACTTCAAGGTAAAACAATTTTCACCGAGTGAAGCTGTTGTTTTCTTTTTCCGGTTTGATTGATAATTCAGAAACTCGTCACCCATTAGATATAAATCAGGCCCATTTGAACTGGTTGTCCTTATATGCACTTAAATGTCCTACTATTAACAATATTGGAGGACAAGCGAGGTGCTTTTAATGATCAAAACAATAAACATTTCAACCTCAGAGTGAAAGATGTGTTTTTCCGACAAAATAAATTTCCTTGTCTTACTGATAGGAGAATCGAAAAAATTAACGTCGCATCTATTTTATAAATCTTTTCGGTTTGCCTCCTTATTGATAAATAAATGGGTGAATGGGGCGGGTTGGCTCATGACATCATCTCGGGAACCGATTGGACATTATCATATCATTAGTGAGAAAGCAGCCACACTAATAAACTATAGAATTATGACCGAAGGTGTTTTATTGCATTTGTTTGTTTTATTTTGTTTTATTTTGCTTTGCTTCGTTTTGCTTTGTTTGTTTGTTTGTTTGTTTTTTATTTATGCATTAATTTTTATCGTACAACCCGTGACATGCTTCTGTACTTGTTCATTCATTTATTCTTTCGCTTGTTTATTAATCCATTCATCAACAGTCATATGTCACCCGATACATTTGAAATACATGTTGGAAACTGAAATGAAAGCAATAGTGTCACGTAATGTACCACTAAGCTTTATCAAAAATAATATGCAACCAACAACGTCATCAATTTAAATCAAAGATCATACTATTAACTGAAAATTTAACTTACTGCTTTTGTTGTGTTTTGAAGGAAAGAAAGTGTCTCAGTCTACAGTACCATGCCTCTCAGGAAGAAAGGTTTTCAATTCCTGATGGATGCTATCTTCGAGGGGCTGGTATTTTGATTTTCGGATCGACAAGAACGGTGATTTAACTGTTTAGAAATTTGTAATTTTTGGGAACATTCGAACATATGCATTTATCCTCAGCAGTCTCTGTGTCCCATGCCGAATCCTTTAAGAAAAAGCAACCCAAAAGAAAGTTGATGATAGTGAGTCTTGGCAGACAATTAAAAGAAGAACCAGAGAAGAATCTTTTTGAATATAGTCCCCAGAGACGCATCATTTGATAACTTTTAGACGAACATGAGAGACAACTCAGGAGGATGAAAAAAAAAATTGAATCAAGTGGTATTTGTTTTATTGAGAACTATCGTTCAGATTATAAGATACGCTAATTATTCTTCCCACTAATTTTTTATTTACATTCTGTTAATCAAAATTTTCCGTAATTATTAAGGCGTTCTTGTTGATCGTCTCAGGGTCCATGGGGAGCAAAAGAGAGAACGATTTTCTGTGTAGTCAGGCAAGGCAACGTGCCGGCTTTATACCTCTTCCGGCGTGATAACGATGATGATGACAATTTTTTGGCTTGCACGCATCATTCATGATGGCATTTCGAACAGAAAAGTTTCGGGGAAAGCTATCTAGTACAATTTTCTGTAAACCATAAAATGCCTTTTTTCGCTGTTTCTTAAAATCTGCGAGATAACTTTTTGTCATGCTGTCTGAGAAGTTGAATAATTTCGGGAGCTTTCCTACAAAGAAATAAAGATGGTAGGTCACCAACTTAGTTTTTCAGATAATTTACAATAACTGAAAATATGAGTGTCTGCTTGTGGACCTTACGTCTTGCCATGGTAACCGATATGACGTCATAAGTACCCTTAAAGTATTGCCTAACAATATATTTGCAAAGATATTTATTTATGTTTTGCCCACACGAAAAAGCTCTTTTCTTGTAACCTTTAATCGTTTCACAAACCCTACGAGCCTCCTTAAACACCGTTGTTGTCCAACCACACCTGTATTGTTTTTAACAGAGAACGCTTGCATCCCATGCATTTGCCCAGTGGTTGTTTTGATGACATTCAGGCCACACCTCATAAACTTCGTGATCCGTCGTGGACCCCAGGTCAGTGGTCAGCGGAGAAGGTAAACCAAATAAAATTCATTTCACTTCGTAAATGTAGATGGATGACGCATATACACCGTCACTTTTCTATTACTAATCAACCAGTGGCTTTGTTTCTAACCTATACAGAAAATCGTTGGAGTTTTCCTTTCTTGGAGACGACAGACGACTTTCGGCTTCTTTTGATCTGAACTTATCCAGGTTATTCCAAGCCTCTCGAGTGCCTCCACCAAGAAAATTCCTACGCGCTTTTTTTCTTTTTTTAGAAACCATCATAAATTACAAGTTTGCGTTTTTTCAGCCTTTTGGTTTTTATCAAGGGCTCTTTTCTCCTTTTTTTTAAGTTTCATGATGAGAAATTGACTTATCTTTCGAAAAATATAGAACTCAAACGCAAATATTGCGTCAAACTGACCTCCCAGGGGGTTCACGCCTAACGGAGATCATGACGCCTTGATAGTCTTTGAACTTTTTTTATGAGATACACTTTTCTCTTACATTTTGGCAACGAGTTAATTAATTTCTGGTATTCAGTCTCTCTAGATTCTTTATCCAAGGCAAAGCAATAATTAGGTAAATCCTTTGCAGGCAATTGACCCGCTTTGACCAGTAATCTGCTAATTGCAGGTCAATTTACTCTTAAATTTTGTGCTGAAATAAGTGAAGTGTGTGCAACCGTTGTTTTCGTGAAACGAAAGCAAAGGAACGAGAATTAAGGAAAACATATCTGTATTATATCGCCAGGACAAGTGAATAAACGATCGAACTTCTGAAAAATTGTATGTAAATGAGCATGAACCTCTTGAAGTGGAGACTGTAATAGCCATTTTTAATGCATAGCTTTAGAGCTGAAGAAGCAGTCATCAGTTAAGAGTTTTATCTTTGGTTCAATTGAGAGAAAAGAACAACAAACGTCATAAAACATTTTTGCTTAGGAATGTAGCTGACTAACGGAAAGTTCCCAACGGTTTTTCTTAAACTTGGGTCGAATCTCAGCTATAATTCTAAATGGTGTTAGTTGCCAACAAAAGACCAAAATCGGCATCGAAGGCCCTTGCATTTGGTGCTGCAATAGCCTCACGTTTCTTCGCCGCTCATAGCATGGTATAAGCCTTTTCATTTTATACATGCTGAGATTTACAAGGTGAATTACTATCGTTCGTGTAACTGATTGGACAAACGATGTATTTTTAAAATCGTTCGCCTCCAATCTTTAAAAAGTGTTAATTGGTTAGTACAAATTTCACTAGGTATAAAATAAAAATATCATAGCATGGAAATTTCTGGGACGATTTTTATTCACTCGCTGCGATGCATCAAAAAAATCACTCGTTTGCTTCGATCACCCACTCGTTTTTTGATGCATTGCAACTCGTAAATAAAAATCTTTCGTGCGCCTTTCCCATGGAATAATACTTATTTGCTGAATGGGCCTGAGACATAATTGTGAGGGTGACTTCAAAGACTTTCTTGAAAACTCAGCTCGATATGTTTGTGCATGCAACCATTCCTAACACCAACTAGCCACTCGTCTGCTAAGCACAGCTTGAAATATAGCTCATCCAGGAATATGCATCCTTAACACCTAAGAACGTAAGAATTCATCCTGCTTGACAAAGCACGACAAAAAAGTATTCAAGAATATTTTAGAGCTTTGCACCAC